ATTATTATTATCATCATTGTTATTGTCATTATCGTTATAATAATCATTATAATTACTATAATTATTATTATTATTATCATTATTGTTATTACTATCATTAATATCATAATCATTATAATTATCAATATCATTATTACTATTATTGTTATCATTATTATTATTACTACTACTTTCATTATAATAATGATAATGATAATAAAAAATTATTATTATCCTTATTACCATCATCATAATCATTATTATTACTATTATCATTATCATCATCATCATCATCATCATCATTTTTTTCTATTATTAGTCCCTCTTTGGCTTCTAACCCCTCGGTAATATTTTATTTTCCCAAGCAACAATGTTTAGAAATATGCCTATGTCTTATTGTTATTGTTAGAACTTCATCTTTATTATCATTATAATTATTTTACATTCATCTTTATCATTATCATCATCATCATCATCACCATATTTTCTTCTTCTTCTTCATCATTATCATCATCTTTATCTTCCTCCTTCTCCTCCTCCTCTTCTCTAGAAAGAGTGTAGGACACAACACCGAATTAGTGAGAAGGGGGGAGGAGGAGGGAAAGGTGAGAGAGGGGAGGAGGGAAAGGTGAGAGAGGGGAGGAGGGAAAGGTGAGAGGGGGGGAGGAGGGAAAAGTGAGGGGAGGAGGAGGAGGGAAAGGTGAGGGGGGGAGGAGGAGGGAAGGGTGAGAGAGGGGGGGGAGGGAAAGGTGAGAGGGGGAAGAGGAGGGAAAGGTGCAGGGGGAAGAGGGAAAAGTGAGGGGGGGAGGGGGAAGGGGGGAGAAGGGAAATGTGAGGGGGAGGGGGAGGAGAGAGACCAGGTGGACCATCCTCTCCGTCAGTATTCTTAATCGAGAAATGCGCGTTAAAATCTTTGCGATGAATTCACCCCGTACCCTAGTGATGTGACTGGCATTGATAAAACGAATGACTCCCTCACTCTCTCTCTCTTTCTGTGCATCTCTTGCTCATTGTCTCTCTCACTCTTTCTGTGCATCTCTTGCTCATTCTCTCTCTCTCTCTCTCTCTCTCTCTCTCTCTCTCTCTCTCTCTCTCTCTCTCTCTCTCTCTCTCTCTCTCTCTCTCTCTCTCTCTCTCTCTCTCCTTCTCTCTTTATCCGTTTCTTAAACTTTACTTCCTTGTAGTAGCACACATGAACTTTGTTTCGAGTATTAGAATCTATGTTATATAAGGAATTAAGCCTCAACAGTTATTTAGAACAGGTAATTTCTGGTAGATTTAGCATTTAATAAACTTGTATTAGTAAACCATAAAATATGTTTTAAAGAATATATGAAAATAAACACTAGGTATACCAGAGGTGTAAAAAATACAAATGCAAGAATATACAAGTTGTCAAGAATAACTGATAATAAATCAATGAACAAATGTAAAAATAACATTTACTAAAGGAAGACGATAGCAAAAGATAATAACTTTGGTGGGATGTATGTCGTGTACCTGCAAGGGCCAGCTGCAGTTTGTGGTAATAATTGTGTGCAACTTTGGTGGCCTGCAGAGTTAAGGCCTGGTGTACCTATAATGAGAAAGTTATATAAGGAATTAAATATCAATAGTTATCTAGAACTGGTAATTTCAGGTTCTCTCTCCCTCTAATATTCATGTAATTTTATACTTTTAATGCATATGCTTGCTTCGATTTTCAAAATATTAACAAGTTTTACTTATGAAACATCACTGACGCAACAGAAAATAAAATTTCAACTCTAGTGACCTGTAGCGTTTAGCCATGGTGTACGAGGGAGAGTGAGAGAGGGAGAGGCTTCTGTAATAAGTAGGTTCCGCAGACCCAAAAGGAGATTGGGATACTGCAGATATGCTAGACGGAAATGATACAACTGCCACATGCCTTGCCTCGGTAATGAGGGGCGGAGATTATAGAAGATATTATGATTCTTTGTCACTGAGGAGGCGAGGCGCTTGGCTAGTAGTAATATGGGCCTTCTTGGACATGTCCTGGAAACGTCATATCTCGGTTAATCTTTTATACTTCTATCTCCTTTATTTTTCTCTCTTCCTTTCTCACTGTTTCTTTCTGTTTCTTTTTTTTTCCTCTCTCTGTCTATCTATTTATCTACACGCCAAACATGGTAATTATTTTACACATTACACACACAAACGAAAACATTCGACTACTAAATTTTCCTCTTTTATATTTCTCATACCAAAAAAAGGGTTGTAAGCCATCAGTAAATGTAGATATACTGTAGAGCATACATGAAACTATACTCAATAATCCAATAGTAATTTTAAACATGACACCCATATATAATCATGAAGAAGAAATGTGTGGTAATCCTTAATTTGCTTCGGTATTATCATATTATCTAATATCAAAGGATTGAGTATTAATGTTGCGTTGAAGATACAGTACCTGCAGTACTTTGTGTATCTTCGTCTTTCTGTCCAGTTAACACAATGCAATTGAAATGGTTATGCGCTTAGTACCCGAGTGTAGTATTTCTGGACGCGCCTGTTTTATCACACGTTCGTCTCAGTTCATTTAGTAGTAAAAAGGTACTTTGTTAGTCAGTTCAGTGAATCAGTTACTAGGATAGACTGAATTAAGGAGTAACCCAGGGGATTACTCAAAATTATCACAGGAGGCATCTATGACGTAATTTTCCACTCTCAATGTTTCTTTTGAGATCATTCTTGGATTCCCTCCAGCCCTGGTTTCACCCCCCCTCCTCTCTCATTAATTTCCTTTTGCCATCAATATGACTTTGACGTTATTCCGGCACTCACCCGTGGACTGGGCATAGAACAAACCAAATGGTGAAGTACTTAGCTAATGTCTGGGAACATCATATCTCGGTTAATCTTTCGCATTTCTATCTCTGTTTGTCTCTCTCTCACTGTTTCTTTCTCTGTCTGTCTATCTATTTATCAATATACCACACTTGGTAATGATTTTAGACATTCCACAAGCCAACGAAAACAATTTAACTTCTTAAACTAACAATGGTTTTAGGACATCAGTAAATGTAGATATATAAATAAGTAGGTTAGAAGTCGTTGACAAATTTATGCCCAGTTTAAATTTTGAAAATTTAACCAATTTAATTTTATGATGAAATGTGCATTATTCCTGAATGAACCTCCATGGTATGTTTGAGTATTTTCCGCACTAAATTCATAGTATCAAATACTATAGTGTGCAGTATCGGTTGTTTTAGGTGTGCCTGACTAAACAGTGAAATACACTTAATACTTGAATGTACTATTTCTGGACACGCATGATTTATCACACGTTCGTCCTAGTTCATTTAGCAGTAAAAGGGTACTTTGTCAGTCAGTTCAGTGAATCAGTTACTAAGATAGACTGAATGAAGGAGTAACCCAGGGGATTACTCAAAATGATCACACAGGAGGCATCTATGACGTAATCCTCCACTCTCAATATCTCTTTTGAGATAATTTTCCTCGAGGTGAAATCCATGCAACAGATTCTCAAGAAATATTCTTTCTCGAATTCCCTCCAGCCCTGCCCCCCCCCCCTCCTCATTAATTTATTTCTGCCATCAATGTGGCTTTAATGTTTCGCCGGCAGTCACGCGTGTGATACCTGATAATTGTACTTTCCAAAATTAATTAAACTTTATTATATCATTCATAGTGGGGCATACTATGCTTCTTAAGAGAGTGGTTTTTATTCTCCATATGAAATTTGTTATAAAATTTCTGCTATGACCGCTGTTCCCGCACACCGTCTCAATCGCTGCAATGTGATGCCAGACGTGTAAAGTGACCATGCCATAAGAAAGTGTGAGGTAATAACATTCGTCATATTCATAATACTCGATACCTGACGAGTTGTATCGATACTTTGACATTGCTATGCTCATTCTAACTAATTATTATAATCAAGCATATTCTTCAAATTCTAATGACAGAAAGTGGTGTTATATGTATATCAGTAATTTCGGGCCGAATTTGCTTTACAGACAGCAATAGCGATATAGAAAAGAGAAACGAGGTAGTAATGCCCAATAACAGACAGCGAGAATAAGAATGGAAGAAATGATAGGGGGAAAGAGAGGTAAGATGAGAAAGCATTAATACATGGCAGATATACAATGGAAGAATGTGAAGAAAAAAATGAATGAAAGTGAGAGGAAACAAATGCGAGTGAAAGAGTGAATGCATTCAAGAATGATTTGTTCAAGAAATGAGCTAGAGGCGAGCTGGTCTCTCTCTTTCTCCCTCCTCTTCCCCCTCATTCCTTCCTCCTCTCTCTCTCCCTCACGCGCGCGCGCGTACCTCCTGAAATTTGAATTTATGACACTGTGGTGAAAGTCCGATATCATTACTGGTCTTATTTATTAAATCTGCGATATGGTACCATTAAGTATTGACAAAATAAGCTTTGTATGTTAACCCTAGCCTGCATCTATAAAAAGAAGAAAATAGAATTGACACATATATATAACACAAGTAAATAGATAGATATGTATGTATGTATGTATGTATCTATTAAACGAACAGAAAAAAAAACATATTTGAATCTCCCATCATTCTCATTAATTTTTCGTTTTGATTACTATCTACGATTTTTCCCCATCAAAACGCTTATCGCGAAATATATATATACAACAAAATATATATTTATTTTCTTATATATTACAGCATGAGAAGGAACACACAGTGGACATGCACGCTTTGTTTAGACACGTGAGTATGCAAATTGTGTTTGAAGGAAGGGAATATGAAGCTGGTCTGAATTTGTGAAACACGTCATAAAGATCTATTTCTTATTTTTATCTTACTGTTGTAATCATCACTATTATCATCATAGACCTCAATATGTAATTACTTTCATTATTATCACCACCATTATCATTAGCAGCAGCAATACCTATCACCATAAACCATCATCATCAGTACCACTACCATGTCTCCATCATCTCTACAATCCCTTGCCTACAGTCATGGGATGACCTACGGTTGGCATGGAGCCT